TTTCTTTCTTTCTTTCTTTCTTTCTTTCTTTCTTTCTTTCTTTCTTTCTTTCTTTCTTTCTTTCTTTCTTTCTTTCTTTCTTTCTTCCTTCCTTCCTTCCTTCCTTCCTTCCTTCCTTCCTTCCTTCCTTTCTTTGTTTCTTTCGTTGCTGCTGGTGATGTATATGGTACGTGTTTGTATGTAGCCGTGGGGGTTGGGTACACATGTGTCGAACCTTATTTTTTGAGACAGGGTCTCTTACCGAACTCAGATCACATCCGTTTGGCTAGGCCGTCTGTCCAGTGAGCTCCAGAGATCTGTCTGTTTCCACTTTCCTGGTTCTGAGATTGAGACCTGTGCCCCACAACCAGTTCTGGACTCAGATGCTTGTGCAGCAAGCGCCTCGTTGACTGAGTCGTCTCCCCAGCCCGCTACTTATTAAAAAAAAAAAAAAAAAAAAAAAACGCTTATTTTCCTCGCCCGCATCATTCTCTGGAAGGAGAGAAGGAGATGACATTTCCTATTAATGATTTTCCGGGAATAATTTCATACTCTGGCTTCTGTCTTATTACATAATGAATTATAAAAGGTACCCTTTAATCATGAAGTTCCAGGACATTTATAATAACTTTCAAAACAGCTGTGCATGCAGATTTCATGACCCCACCCCAACAAAGCCGTAACCTTAAAATATCCAGAGAGACTGGATGGTATGGGTAATATTTTAAAGGAAATGTACTTGCACACAGAAGCATTCCTTCTTAAAGGAGCGCTGACATTCATTCCTTGGCATACAGTATTTTCATACGGATTATAAATGTCCTAATTGGCTTTCTGTTGCTGTGATAAACAGCGGGACTAAAAACAACTTGGGGAGAAGAGGGTTTGCTTGGCTTACATACATCCAGATCCTGGTCTATCATCCAGGAAAGCCGGGGCAGGGACTACGGGAGATGCTGTTCACTGGCTTGTGTCTCCACGGCTCACTCCATTTGCTTTATTACACAACGTGGCACCACCTGCCCAGGGACTGCCTGGCCCCCCCATCAGTTAGCATTCAAGAAAATGCCCCCACAGACTTGTGTGCAGGCCAGTCTGATGGAGGCAACCTTCAGTTGAGGTTCTGACCTCCCGGGTAACCTTGGTTTGCGTCAAGTTGACAAAATCTAGCCGGTACTATAAACAAGAAGCCGTGGCCATGAGTGCCGGACACTGGGGGCTGGTGTGCTCCCCGTGTCGATCCTTATCAGCAGTCCTTCCTACAGGGATTTGTTTGCAAGGTAATTGTTTAATCTGTTGCCTGGATGGAGAAACTGGGGCTCAGGAGTCCAGATGCCTTGACTAGAGAAAGTCATTTAAATCAAGTGTCCTAGTGAGGTTTCCATCGCTGTGGTGAGCACCATGACCAAGAGCCTACCTCCGGCTTACAGCCCATCATCAGGGGAAGTCAGGCAGGGACGGGAAGTCAGGCGGGGACCGGAAGTCAGGCAGGGATGCAAAGCCGCAACTGAAGCAGAGATGACAGAGGAAAACTGCTTGCTGCTTATTCCCCCCGCTTTGTTCAGGCGCCTGCACAGGGCTGGCAGCCCTCAGAGTGGGCTAGGCCCTCCTCTGTAAGTCAGCAGTCAAGGAAACACCCCACAGGCCGATCTGATGGAGGCAGTTCCTCGGCTGAGGTTCCCGCTTCCCAGGCGTCTCTGATTTGTGTCGAGCCGACAGAAACTAACCGGCACACTGGACGATCGTAGCACTGGAGAGGCTGAGGCAGGAGAATTGAGAGTTAGAACCCGGCTTGGGCTACAGCGTGAGACTCTGCGTCAAACAAAGGAGCCCACAAATAAAGCCATTTGATAACCTAATAATAACATTTTAAATCACGTTTGCAAACCTCACCCATCAGGCCTGAGAGGCTTAGTAGTCAAACGACCTTTGCAAACATTGATAGGCTTGCAGGATGTGTGTGTGTGTGTGTGTAAGATAACTTTGGAGTATCTGCTTGATGTCTCTTGGTTCATGGTCCTATTCCAAACTGTTTCCCTAACCTTTTCGTCTCAACTTCTAATAAGGCTGTAGGAGCTCAGACTGCATCCCCTGGACCTCTCTCCCACCCTCCCAGCAGCCTTTTGTACCTTGGTGTTGGCATTCCCAACAGAAAATGTCTGATTTCTAGGCAGCATTCCTGAGCTAAGAGCAGATTGACAAACTTGGGTTTCTTATGAGGCAAAAAGTTGTTTGGTTTTAATTTGGGGGTGGGGGTAGGGGGAGCTTGGCTCTGTGTTTAAACTACCCAAACCTAATTGTCTTTTTCAGCCCAAATAACCTATTTCCTCTTAGACCCAAGACCTCTCAAGCTTTGAAGATAAAAGGACAGAATGTCTCTCATCTCAGATCTTTCCACACGCTGCTGAGACAGGAAGGGGATTTGCAATCCTTGGTGTGTCCTAAGAGATTTGTGCCAGAGAGAGGCTCCACTCCAGCAGCTGCGACCTGCTTCCCTGATCTGTGAGGGACCCCGGGGGTGAGCACACGATGGGGGCCTGCATGGGACCCCAGCTCTTCCACTGCGTAAGGCCACGTGGAGGCGGCTGGGATGCCACTCACTGGCCAGTCTCCACGACCTCTTCAAGCCAAGGGCAGCATCTGGCTGGAAAATGGAAACTCATATTGGCCAAAGAAAAAGCACCAATTAAAGCCCTCATGTGGGGAAACTTGATTAAAACACAAAATTTAATATATCGATGTTTTATCTTCCCAATGAGGAGCGAGAAGTGATGGTCCGCTCATTTGTCACGCTTAGCGGAGCCTTGAGGGAGCCCAACACAAGAGCATTAAACTTGGTTTGTTAGCTACGTTTCACAACACCAAGTAAAGAAACATTAGGAAACAAAGAGAGTGGGTCTGTCCCTCCCCCCCGCCCCCTCCCCACACCCGTTTATTTTCATGAGCAAACTATGCTGTAGCGTCACAAGGGCAAAAAGACAAAGTTAAAGGCTCTTAAAACACTCTTAGGCTACAAAGGGCCTTGCTTCTTGTGAAACCGTGCTTTGAGTCTGTCCACCCCAAGGTCAGGTTGGAATGCCACTGTAAGGCCGGGAAGCCCAGCGGTCAGGCCCTTCAGAACCTTCTGAAGGCCTGCAGAGATCCGGGTGGATGGCAGATTGGAGTTTTGGGGGGGTTATTGATCATAAGCAAGAACTTACCAGTTTACAAGTGAGCCACTTGGGAAGCGGTCATCTAGGCTGCCTCCAAGTGGAGGCCTGCTGACTGACTCAGAACAGAGAGACCCAGGTATTGCCCTGTATATTAAAAACAAATCCCCAGTGCCCCCTCCCCCGCGCCCCCCCCCACCTCTCCCCTGCCCCCACTACTTTCCACACACACTCTGTTCTTTCCTAGTGTCTCCTGCAGGAGCGCTCTCCCTCTTTGCAGGGTCCCCTTGGCGAAGCTCTTGGCCACCTGGAGCACCTGGGGTTTCACTTCCTTCATCCGAGGAGGTCCAAGAGGTGACAGGTCTTTCTCCTTCTTTGTCCCCTGCCTCTCTTCTCCTCACTGGATGCCTGAGCTCCTTAGGGACAAGGGTTGTGTTTGAAGCCTCTCCGCATTTTTAGTATCAACACCAGGGGGCTCAGGGAGGACGGCAGAGGCAGGATCGGTTCCCGGCAGGTGCCCAGGTCCCGACAGGTGCCCAGGTCCCGACAGGTGCCCGGGGGACAGACGGCAAGTGGAGTGTGCGCACAGGAACGGGCCAGCTCGTTCCCTTTACTCTCTGAGCATGTCTGAAATGGAACATTTTCTTCTTCTTTAGATTCGTTTTCCTACGAATGCTGTCTTTACAAAGGGGCCGTCTCCATCAGGATCCCAGTGAGATGATCAAATTCTGCTCTGGAAATGGTCATAATTCAGGAATGACTCCCCCCCCTTCCCCCTTCTCAGCAAAAGCTGCTGTGTCCTGATGGTAAGAGACTCCAGGCAGGTGCTGGAACCACAGCCCCCAGCTTCCAGGGCAGGAGAGAGAGGCAGACATGAATCAGACACGCCCCTCTCCTCCCCAGAGCTGAAGGCGTGAAGGCTGCTGGTGTGTTTTTCACGAAAGACACCACGTGGGAATTTTTAGGGTGAGGGCGTACAGGCAGGAGAGAGAGGCAATAACTAATGGGCAGTAGAGAAGGGCGCGGCTTCTTCCCAACATGGAACTGATAGCTAAATTTAAAACCCCGCGCAGGGTGGGGTGGAGCCAGAGCCCCACTTACGAAAGGCCTTAATTCCACCAGGGAAGCCCTTGCCAGCGGCTCCTGAGAGAGAACTGTGTTGAGGATTACCTTTTCCCATTTTCTGGAAGCATGACTGAGGACTCATGGTAATTCTTCAAATCCTCACCATTACAGACACAGCATCTTTATTCACCCTAGGTTTACCCAGGCTTTCTTTCTTCTTGAATCAGTTCAGTAGTCTGCTTCTTCAAAGTTGTGCTTTTCATCTGGTTTATCTGCTTGTCCACGCGTGTGCTTTGCACTGTTTTCTGGTCATTCTCTGTCTTGTTGTGAGTTCAGGACTAATGTGCCTTTTCATGCCTGACTTAGTACTTGGAATTTTCTCTTTTCTCTTGATGGGTTGAGTGGAATGTTTCCCAATCATTGATCTTTTGATTTTATTGGTTTGCTTCGTTGATTTTTTTTTCCCTCTGTTGCTGTCTTCTTCTTGGTCTCCTCTTTCTGTAATCCTTGTTCGTTCCTTCCTTCTGCCCAACTTTGGGTTTTCTTTCTTCAAATTTCTTCAGGTGGAATGCTAAGTTGTTGGTCTGAGATTTTCTTTATTTAAAAAAAAGGTGTGCTGGTGAGCACGCGTGCATATGTGTGTGTGTAGTGAGTGAGTAAGTGACTATGTGTATGTGTGTGGACAGCTTGAAGGTTTCCCTGAAGGCACTAACTTTCACAGTGTTGTGTTTTTATTCCCATTTATCTCAAAGTACATATTTTGGGGGTTTGTATATTATTGTACCCATTTTAAAGACATTAAAACCCTGGTGCCTTGCTCAAAGTCACACAGCTAAACTGGGGTCTGTGCTGATTAGTCTCTGTTGTCAGCTTGACACACCCTCCAGTCGTCTGGGAGAGGGAGCCTCAGTTCAGGAACCGCCTCCATCAGATTGGCCTGCCTCTCTGTTGCTGACGGATGTAGGAAAGCCTGGCCCACTGAGGGCAGTATCATTACTAGGTAGGTTTGGGCTGGATAAGAAAGGCAGCTGAGCAGAAGCCAGGAGCTAGAGAGCCAGGAAGTGCATGGGCTCTGCTTTATTCCTGCCCTGACTTCTCTCAGTGATGGCCTGTGACCTGGAAGTATAAGTCACATAAACCTTTTCCTTCCTGTGGTGGCTGGAATGAAAATGGCCCCCAGAGGCCCATAGGAAGTGGCACTATTAGGAGGCGTGGCTTTGTTGGAGTGGGTGTGGACTTGTTGGAGGAAGTGTGTCACTGGGGGTGGGCTTTGAGGTTTCAAATCTCAAGACAGGCCCAGTCTCTCTCTCTTTTCCTGCTGCCTGCTGATCCAGATGTAGAACTCTCAGCTTCTTCTCCAGCACCATGTCTGCCTGCATGCTGCCAGGCTTCCTCTGAACTGTAAGCCAGCCCCAATTAAACGCTTTCCTTTTTAAGAGCTGCAGCGGTCATGGTGTCTCTTCATAGCAACAGAAATCCTAAGACACTCCCCATGTTGCCCTTGGTCAGAATGTGTTAATGTTATCAGATGGCACATTTGTCACTGTCCGTGACCTGATCATGCTCTCACTAACCTGTAGGGCCCTGGCCCCCCGTTCTGGGTAGCTGTTGCCTGCTTGCCGACCTTGACCAGATGTCCTCCCTATGCTGAGTCCCCGCCGGTTTCCTTCCTCCTGAACACTCACCAGAGGTTCTTTGTTTGTGTATCCTGCATTTGGTGTAAACAGCTTAGATGCAAGTATGTAGAACATTGGGTAGTGAACTTCTGCCTTCTGGGGATCCTCCATTGTGCTGTAAGCCTGTATTTAAGGTTTCTTGCCTCTTTCAATAAATGGCATTCGGCATTTGGCATTCTGCTGGGGTGAATGACCTGCTGTCTCTTGTCTCTGTTTTTTGATCCACAGCCCCTCACTCGGACATGGTGAACGGGTGGTGGTAGCTTGGGCGTTACCGCAACACTAACCCAGGTCCATCCTTGGTTCAGAGTTACCCAGTGTTCCCATGCCAGTTTATAACTGGGGTTTGAACATTGCTTCGTCTGATTTAAAAACCCGTGATCCTAGTTGTCCCATGTAATGGTTAATCCTGATTGTCACCCTGACAGGATCTAGATCACCCAGGAGACAAACCTCTGCGCATGTCTGTGATGGGCTTTCTGGACTGGAATAACTGGGGTAGGAAGAAGCAGCCTTACATGTGGGCAGCACCAGTCTATGGAGTGAGGTCCCAGACTGAAGGGAAGGGGAGGAGGGAGCTGAGAGCCAGCATTAGCGCAGATGCGATCAGCCACCTCACGCCCTTGACACCTATCTCCCCTGCCGTGGAGAACTGTACTCTCAAACTGTGGACAAAAAAGCAACAATAAAACCCTCTTTCTCTCCCGAAGTGGCTGCTTTCAGGTATTTTATTATGGCACCAAGTAATAAATACAGCCTAGAATTCTCGAATCGGGTTTAATGACTACAGTAAAAAGTGGGGTGTTCACTCATTAGGTTTTTGTTGTTGACCTACTGGGTGCCAGTTACTCTTCCTGGGGCTGGAGTATAATAGTGAACAAGACAGAAGAATTCTGTTTTTATGGAACTTACGAGCTAGCTGGTAAAGACAGAAAAGGACACATGAACACACTACCCTAGTCGGGTCGTGTGCTAAGACAGGGTGAAAACAGAGAAAGGGGGTGTGCGTGGCTAACTGCGGTTGTCAACCTGACTGCTCCCGGAATCAACCAGAAACCAAGTAGCTAGGTGCTGCTCAGGCAGCTTTGTTGACTGGACCATGAGGTGGGAAGGCCCACCCCAAATCTGGGCCACCACTTCTGGCCGCAGCTTATATAAAGGGCACGGAAGAAGGAAGCGTCGCCTGTGCCTGCTCGCCCTCACTCTTGCTGGCACGTTCGTTCACCTGTCCTGCTGCCCAGGCATTGGTATGAGAACCAACTTCTTCTTCTATATGCAAATATAGACTGAGGACCAGCGGCTCTCTGGGAATCCTCTGGGGCATCAGCACCAGGCTGGGATTGCTGAGA